GGGACGCGCGGCCTCCGAGGTGGGGTCACCGTGAGGCTCTCTTGGGGTTCTTTGCGCTTCCTACGTGTGTGTGGACGTGTCCTCGGAACCGAGCTGTGTGTGCCCGTGTCCTCGCGTAGGAGGAGCGGGAGCACAGGCGGCGGTTGGCGCTGCCGACATCCGGGTAGGGCCCGGGCCGCGGAGGACCGGCCTGCCGGGGCCGCGCGGAGAGCGGCCGGGGCCTCGGGGCGGGGTGGGAACACGCAGCGGGAGCGCTCCGCTCCCAGAGGCGGACGCCGGCCCGCGAGGGCAGGGCCCTGCGCTCAGTCCAGAGTAAAATCGGGGGAGAAGCACGTTGGAGACCAGGCCCGGGGGGGGGGGGGGTCTTCCTTGAGCCATCTGGAGAAGGCTGTTTTGAAAGGTGACTCCAATTAGGAGTGAAGATCCGAGGACAGGTCTAGGAGACCACCGAGAGAGTGGTGCGCATCAACAAAATGGTTTGGTTTTTGAGGCCGAGAACTCTGGGGTATTACTTTAACTTTGTTTGGAAAGGTAAAAACACCTGATGAGAAATTAGGAATTTAAAGGTAAGGGATTGGAGTGGGCTGAACAATGCTCCTCCCAATTTATTTCCCTCTGGAACCTCACACTATGATCACTTCGATGTAATTAAGATGAGATCCACTGGATATGAATGGGCCCTAAATCTAATGACTAGGGTGCTTGGTAAAGGAGCGGCCACATAGACAATCAGACACCAGGTGATAAGGTCACGTCCGACTGTACGCAGAGATTGGAGGGAGGCAGCTAGAAGCCAAAGAATGCTGATAGTCACCAACTGTGAAGAAAAGACAATGAAGAATTTAGTCTGAAATATCTGCAGGAGAGTCTGTGGGACTTTTATCTCCAATTAGTCACTCCCAAAAAGAGCCAGAAGTGGAGTTGTGGCTCGAATGATAAATGCACCCTGAACATTAATTACTTGAGCACAAAAGCTCAAGGACAACATTCAGGCCCTGAGTTCAAGCTCCAGAACTGACACACACACACATACATACTCACACAAAGACTTGGTTTCATTGCTCAAGCCACCCAGCACATCTGGTATGAAGTGCAGCTATTGGTTGAAAAGTGCTTTTTTCCTCTCTACCTGTTAAGAGAGGAAAACAAACAAACAAACATGTTTACTTCCCACTGGCAAGACCAGCAATATATATTTCCTGTTCTACCAAAAAGAGAAATCAGTTCTTAGGTCCTGTGTTATAATTTAATCCATAGCATCCTCATTTGCCTTCTGTTTCCAAAGAACCTCACAGGTTAGTAGTTCCAGTGAACAAAAGTAGCTACCACACCAGACTTACTGGCAATATATTTGTGTCAGAGCGTGGGGGAGGCGGGGTGGAAAGCCCAAAATTTCAGGAGCCTTCTATCACAATGGAACTTCAAGGTAGGAGTTAAAAGGCTCAGCGCCCAGTAGGAGAGAAGGGGACGCCACAACAAGCCTGGACTGGTATGGGAGTTGCTCTGGTACTTAGGCAGATCCAGCAGGTCCAGTAGTACTTAAAGAAGCACTGGCAGATTTACATGCTGGTTGGTCTTTTGTAGGAGAATTACAATTCAAACCCTTAGGATTTGGTTGCAAACCCTGCTGTCTTCTGTGGAAAACTATTCTGCTTTTGGTTGCCACTAGACCTTGGTAGACTGAATGCTTATCCATGGACACCATGTTAGCATGGAGCCTGACCTCAGAAGTAAGTCACATTGCTAGCATGTCACCTTGATGTGATCTGATGAAGGTAGATTTCTCTCCCAAACCCATAATTCCATGCCAAATATAATATTAATATATGCATTAGGCAATCTGTTTGAGGAGCAATCTACAAAATGCCTGATTAGAACTTTCCAAAATTAACAGTCATCAATAACAAGCCTGAGAAACTCACAACCAGAGCCTGAGAAGATAGGTCAGCTAGTATTGTTGTAAGGAAACTCAGTCATGAGAGAAACGGAAGCCACCACTTAAGAGGTCAAATTATGAGTACTGGAGAGCCGGAGGACTGCTGGTAGACTTGTCCCACGTGCAGCTAGGACAAGGTTTATATAAGCCAAAACCACACGAAGTATGTGGAAGTAAACCTAACGAAAGTGTTATACTTAAGCAAAGATGAGGACACTTAAACCTAATAAAAAAGCAAATCATCTGGGGAAACAATCAGAGGAAATCAAGGGCCAATTATCTAGGGAAGGCTTAGACCCAGTCTCCTTACTTCAGTATAATGCATCCTGAGTAGTAGTATCCTGACACAAGCAAGATATCAGGTTAAAGGAAATCTCAATAGACCACAGGCTTACTGGTTCATTAATTATAACAAATATGCCATAGATTAACAAACTGTTAGGAATAAAGGAAATTGGTATGGAGTAGTTCTATCTTTGCTTTTTGTAAATCTAAAACTTCTTAAAATACAAAATCTATTGTACTAAAACAAAATCAAACTTACTGGGAACCAGTGGCTCCCAGTAATCCTAACTGTAATCTTAACTGCTCAAGGAGACTGAGATCTGAGAATCACAGTTCAAAGCCAGCTCAGGCAGAAAAGACCTGAGACTCTTTATCTCCAATTAACCACCATAAAGCCAGAAGTGGAGCTGTGGCTCAAATGGTAGAGTGCTAAGTCTTGAGAACAAAAGCTCAAGGACAGCACCCACACCCTGTTCAAGTCCCAGGACTAGCATAAATGCAAATCACCATGACATAAAAGAGTAAACCAAGACTTTCAAAAGTAATGAATAAGTTCTTATATTGGGCTTCAGTTAAAATTTTTAATGTTATTTTTTGTTCATTTTTGAAATTTTTGCTGTGTGCATGTTTTATACCATACATAATATATCAGAATCCTTATTCTGCCAAAAGCCATCTGATATCTGTAACATCCTTCACGGACCACACGGTTGTCAATACAGCCAGCTGACTGCAGTAGCTGACACGCACACAGGAAGCATACCTGTCTGTCCCATCATGCACCTAGTTGCAGGGGTTCCCACCACTGTGAGGTACACATGTGGGGTTTTAACGTGTTTGCAGCAATAACATTAACTTTCACCAACTAGAACATAATGTTATTAGATAACTGTGTAAGTGTCTTAAATTTTTTTAAGATTTTCTAAAGTCAGTCATGAGTGAAAAAAAACAACTATAAGACTATATAGCAGCCCATTTTGATCTCAAGGTGAATAGATTAGAACATAAAAATACAGTAAGTTTGCTGAGCGCTGGTGGCTCATGCCTGTAATCCTAGCTACTCAGGAGGCTGAGATCTGAGGGTCATGGTTCAAAGCCAGCCCTGGCAAGAAAGTCCGTGAAACTCTTATCTCCAGTAAACCACCAGAAAACCAGAAGTAGCGCTGTAGCTCAAGTGGTAGAGCACTAACCTTGAGCTGAAGAGCTGAGGGACAGTGCTCAGGCCCAGAGTTCAAGCCCCATGACCGACAAATATATATATATAAAAACCCTACATTATATATATATATATATATAATATATATATATATAAACCCTACATAATATTGCTAGAGCCTATTCCAGTTAGTGTCTAGCCTTCTCCTTGACTCAAATATTAGATAATTTTAAGGATGATATTGTGATTTGTAATGGTTGATTATATTTACAATCACTGTATTAATGCCTAGAATAATGTATGGAAGACTTCAAGTTTCATTGACACATATGGAGGAAGGTTAAGCAATTGCAGTCATACTAATGTGTACTATGTAACTTTAGGGTAGAGATGGATGGAGTGAAGATAGATGGGGAAGAATGGAGAAAAGGATGACATTGATCCAGGTGCTTTGTACAAAGAAAACTGCCAAGTCATTACAGTGTTTTCATTGTTCCATTTTATATTGGTTTGGAGGGGAGGGCAGTGCTGGGATTTGAACTCGGGCTCAAACTTGCTGATCGGGCACTTTATCATTGAGCCACACCTCATGCTGGTTTTTTGCACTGATTTTAGTTTTGAGATAGGGTCTTGCTTCCTGCCTAGGCACATGGCTCGACCATGTTCCTCCTGTTATATAGACTTTCCACCTTAGCGGAAGACAGGCATGTACCACTTCTTCCATTGAGTAGGGGTTCCGTAGATTTTTTTTTTTCCTACAGTGGCATAGAACCTCAGTCCCCCAATCTCAAGCTGTTAAGTAGCTAGGATGCTGGATATGAGCCACTGGCAGCTATTTATTTATTTTTCCCCTGGCTGTGGGTCTTGAACTCTGGGCCTGGGCGCTGTCCCTCAGCAATTCAGCTAAAGATGAGTGCTCTACCACTTGAGCCACAGGGCCACTTCTGGTTTTCTGGTGGTTTATTAGAGATAAATGTTTTCCTGCCCGGGCTGGCTTTGAACCACGATCTTCAGATCTCAGCCTCCTGAGTAGCTAGGATGACAGGCATGGGCCACCGGTGCCTGGCACTGGCAGCTTTTTTTTAAACAAACAAAAATAAACAACAAAAATACTTCTATACAGAACTTAGTACAAGTAGAATGCCCAAGTCCCCCTTTTCAGTACATTAAACTCATATTTTACAGCAACATGAAAACACTACATTTTTACTGTATGGAATTTCCCAGTGCCACACCATTAAAAATAGAATTCATGTGTATTCTGTACATCAATTTCTAAAGTGTCTAAGAAAGGTACTTTTTTATTCTCGGTTTATGAACACTACTCAAGCTTGTTAGGAAGAACTACTTTCACTTAGAAATTAACCGAGTACTCAAGCATGAATTTGAAAGAATCTTTTTATCCCATATGCCTCCTGAACATAGAATGTTCTTTTTAAAAAGGCAGAATTTGGGCTGGGAAGGTGGCTCAGTGGTAGAGCGCTTGCCTTGCATGCATGAGGCCCTGGGTTCGATTCCTCAGCACCACATAAGCAAAAAGAATAAAAACCGGAAGTGGCACTGTGGCTCAAGTGGTAGAGCACTAGCCTTGAGCTGAAGAGCTGAGGGACAGTGCCCAGGCCCAGAGTTCAGGCCCCATGACCGGACCCAAAAAAAATAAAATAAAAATAAAAAGGCAGAATTTGAGGGAGAAAGCAAAACCTACTATGTCTTTGGAGTTTTGAAGCTAAAAGAAATTACAGAGAAAAAGAGGTTAAACAATCCAATAAACAAAACACCTTGCAGAGGTGTTAGTTTACCTGGAAAGCCCCAAAACTTTCCATAGAAGTTTCTATTGGGAGTATGGGTCAAAATTAAATTTACTTTATAATGAAAATGAAACTATCACAGGTAGGAGCTGAGAATGATGGAATGATTCATAGATTTGGAATTCTAGTTAATAATAAACCAATTCAAAATCCGGGTGCCAGTGGCTCTCTCCTAGCTAAAGGAGGCTGAGATCTGAGGATCATGGTTCAAAGCCAGCCCGGGCAGGAAAGTCCATGAGACTCTTGAATAAAAATCATTAGAAAACAGGAAGTGGCGCTGTGGCTCAAGCAGTAGAATGCTCTTGCCTTGAGCTGAAGAGTTCAGGGACAGCACCCAAGCCCAGAGTTCAAGCCCCACAACCGACAAAAATAAAATCAGCTACACAATTTCTTCCTAAAGGTATTATACAATGACATTATTCTTTTGTTTGAGGATCTTCTAAAATGGAATTTCATACTGCTAGTCATTAGTAGCTGCTCTAGGCTGAATTGTTCCCTCTCCCAAAGGGAAATTTATACACATAAGCCCTAACCCAAGAATGCCAGTATATGGAGATAGAGACTATGAGGAGGTGGCAAGGGTTAAGTGAAATCATAAGGGTGTGACCTCAATTGGTAGCCTGAGCCTTTACCTGTAGAGACAAGGACACCAGAGCTTACTCCCTGTCAGGTCAGAACCATTTGAAAGCCAAGCAAAAAGCCTTGTCAGAAACAGAATCAGGTGACACCTTGATCATACCTTCCGGATACCATAAGTGTGAGAAAGAATTGTTTAAGTCACCTAGTGTATGATGTTTTGTCATGGCAGCCATCCCAGTAATTCTTCAGACTCACCTGTTAGGGCAGCCTGTGGATTGCTGCTCACTAGAACCCAAAGGAGCAGGAGGTGCCAATCATGTATCCTAAGAAAATAAAGGGAAGTGTTGGAGATAGTTCTGGGCGCATAAAGAATGATAGAGCGGTAAAATTGTTTGGAAAGCCATGTGAACATAGGTGGAGATGTCACAATGAAATCCCCACCCAAATCATTAATATAAGTTAAGTAAACATGTACATATCTATGAAGAAAGGGGGTAAAGGTTGGAGGCATGGCTTCTGCCTAGAAAGTTTAGACAGCCTGAATTCAAACACCACTGTTATTAAATAAAAATTAATACATATATAACTCTCAGTCATCCAACATCTTACTATGCCTCAAGAGCTGCAGCCAACTCAGCAGCCTCTAGTCACCTTGTAACCTCTTCCTCTTCCTCTTCTTTGGACAATAATCCTATAGTATTGGGAATTTACCTTGTGACTTAATTTAACCTTGATTGCTTTTCCTTGGAGACTTCATCTCCAAGTAGTCACATGGGGTTTTAGGACTTGAACATTTGATTAAAATTGGGCACTTCCAGTCCATAGCATTCATTATAATCTATCTTGTTACTAACCCAGTGGATGCTGCACAATGCTCCTTAATAGATTTTTTTGTCTAGGTGACTTAATATTAGTTTCATACATCTTATAATAGCAACAGCAGACAGAAAAAGAGCTATGTGACCTTTTACAGGTCATTTAGCCTCTCTGAGCCTGTTTCTTCAGACGCAAAATCTAGGTAGTAACTCTTACCAGTATCTTATGAAGATCTGAAAGGGTATGGCAAGGGTCTCTAACAGTGCTTTTAAAATTAGATGTACATCTAACACTTCATGGTTTCATAAAGCTCATAGTTTGTGAAACATCTTTAATACACTACCCATCAAGATCAGAGCTGAACTTGCCATACATGTGTGGAACCAGAATTAATCATCTGTACTCGTGTAAGGTAATCTAAGCCTTACAGAATGTGGTCATTTTTAAATAAGTTTAACTTCACTAGGTTATTGCACTCTATAAATAATTTTTCTGATTATTTGTAGGCAAAGCTTTGTGGATATCTAATTGTCAACACTAGGGGGCAGCATGAGAGCCTCTCCCGGAACAGCTCCTGCCAGTCCCAGCCTGAAACATTTTATCCAGGATGTAGAGTGAAGAAACCTGAGAATGCCACTCTCACACTGTCATCTATTTGAGATTATGAGGCCAGAGAGAAACACTCAGACTGGGGACTTGACTCAAGCAACTCTTTGGACTTTTTTTGTGTGTGTTTATGCCAGTCCTGGGTCTTGAAATCCACACCTGGGAACTGTTCCTGAGCTTTGCTAGTCAAGGATAGTGTTCTGCCACTTAAACCACAGCTCCACTCTGGCTTTTTAGGGGTGTTTAATTGAAGATAAGAGTCTCTTGAACTTTCCTGCCCCGTCTGGCCTCAAACCCCAATCCTTGGACCTCAGCCTCTTCAGTAGTTAGGTTTATAGGCATGATATTAAAAAGTATTTTGGATGACCCTAACTGATAGGACTTTAAGATACTAAGGTGAAAGATATTAAAAGCTTTGTAAGTTACATGGGAACTTCAGACATGTGACAATGGAATGGTTTGTATATAAATTGCGTTTGAACACAGGAATTTTATAGTTGCTAGAACATAAGACAATTTTAGGCCCACATTTACCCTTTTTCCTGGCCATCGCTGTAAATCAGTTTGGTATGTTGAATGACAGCACACAGTACAATGGAAAAAGCACAGTGTTTGAGACACCTCTTCTTCCACAAGGCACAGATGCATGTCCAATATTTTATTGCATTCATTTGTTATTTCCCAATAATTATATTGTGAAATGAATTTGCTGCTTGATAGTGATCTACTCAAAGCACAGACACTGGAAGTCTTCCATTATGTTAACCAACCCAAATTGTTGGAGGAACTATCAGAGAAAATCAGAGGGTTGTTATGTTAAAAATTTCTCTTCATATCATAAAAGGTCTATGAAGACAGCCCATGGGACAGTAGAAATTATTTGTAAATCACATGATAAGGGAGTCATCCAGCCTATGTAAGGAACTCTTTCACCTCATCAATGAAGATAACCCAGTTTTAATTGAGCAAATGATTTGAAGAGACATTTCTTCAGAGAAAATAACAGACATGAAAACTGGCTCAACATCATTAGTTACAAGAAAATCTCATTTGTATCCAGCTGAGATACAATTTCACATCCACTAGGACAGCTAAAATATAGAAAACACACAACAACAAATGTTGGTGATTACGTGGAGAAATTGCAACCCATATTCCTTGCTGGTAGGAATGTAAAATAGTGCAGCTGCTTGTAAAAGTATTTGGCAGGTCTTCAAGCTATTAAAGAGATTCCACTCCTAAGTAGACACCCAAGGAAATCAAAACGACCCAAACAAAAATGATGCACATACGTTCATGGAGGCATCATTCATAACAACCAATCAGTGAAAACCACTTAAATGTCCATTAACCTAGGGGGAATATATATATATATATACATGTGTTATAATATAGATTATCTTTTGTCAATAATAAATTACTGATGCATCCTAATACATAGGCAATACTTTAACATGGTATGTGAGGCTGGGCTGTCATTCAGTTGTAGAACACTTGCCTGGTATGTGCAGGGCCTTGGGTTCAATGCCAGTACCACAAACACGCTATGTGAAAGGCAGTCATCAAAAAGTCATGCTGCATATCGAATGATTCCATTACATAAAATGTCAGAATACACAAATCTGTAGAGCTAGAATGTATTTAATGGTTGTCAGAGGCTGAGAGTGGGTGGAATGGAGAATAGGGAGTGACTGCTAATAGAAATATTTTGGTAATAACAAATACGTTCTGAAATTAGATAGTGATGGAAGTTCCACACTTCATGCAAACACTAAAATCTTC